GCTAGGTGGCAGCGTACATTCCTCAGCTGGCCAAGTCAAATCCGGACCTGTGGGGCGTCTCCCTGTGCACTGTGGATGGTCAGCGGTAAGATGTTGGGTGAGAGGAAAGGGAGGGAGGGCTCGGGGCTGAGTAAAATAGAACCCCTTTCATGTCACTGTCTGTCTGCAGGCACTCTGTGGGCCACACAAAGATCCCCTTCTGCCTGCAGTCCTGCGTGAAACCCCTCACATATGCCATCTCCATAAGTACACTAGGCACTGACTATGTGCATAAGTTTGTGGGCAAGGAGCCCAGTGGCCTGCGCTACAACAAGCTCTCCCTCAATGAGGAAGGTAAGCCACCTCAGACCACGCTCCACCCCTCCCCCCACCCCCAGCCTTCTTTTTCTTGTTCCTTTCCCTTTTCTTCCATCTAAGTACTAACAGGCCTGACCCTGCTTAGCTTCTGACATCAGAGATTGGCCATGGCCAAAGTATACAGCTGTAGCCTCTGCCTTTCCCCATTAGCCCTGTCCTTCCTTTCTCAGAAATCTTTTTTGTCTAACCCACAGAATGACAGGCTTTCTTCTGTGGCTAATGAGATTCCGGTTGATTTGTATTTCCTCAGGAATCCCCCATAACCCCATGGTCAATGCTGGTGCCATTGTCGTCAGCTCCCTGATCAAGGTCAGTGCCACCTCCATCTTCTGATAGATACTATTCTCTAAGTCTCCTTGCACAGCTCTGGGGAGCTGAGTGGTATGGATTCCTTTGGGGGTTACCAAGAGGCATGTAAGAGCACGGCAGGGATCTATGTGTGCTGAGGAGGTTTGTAAGAAGGACTGTATCACCCACCTCTCCCCATACTGTTTCCTTCCCCCACCTGAGTCTGGAGCCCAGCACTTCCTGGACCTTGCAGAAGTGCACAGCGAGTCCTGACCCCTGTCTAAAACCAAGGGCCAAGTGCCAGAGAGAACGGGGGGAGGACAGCACTATTAGGCACTGATTGGCCACTCCTAGGTGAGAGACACTTGGAAAAAGGTGAATGGTCGGGCCAGGGCAGTTATTCACGTCACCTGGAACTGTGAGTTGGCCTTGAGCAAGAGTGTCAGGCAGGCACATCAGCTGTAGGTCTCCCAGGGCTTGAGCAAGAACCTGAGAACAACGTGGGCAGCCACACTCCAGAGCCAATCACAGCCCCTCCTGAGGAAGGTGGTGTTAGGAGCCCATCCCCCCTGAGAACTCAGGTGTCAGAGTTTCTGCCCCCTCCCCCCAGGTGTTGACTTTATAGTTGACCTGTGCAGGAAGCAATGTCTGTGGTAGGAGACCAAGCCAAGTCTAACACACACACACACACACACAGGCACACACACACACACTTCCCTAAGTACTATCTACAGCCCTGCCTCTTGGACCTACCTTATCTCATTCCTATCTATGTCAGCTAAAACCTTGTCTAATGTGTAAGGCCCTGAGTTCAATTCCAGAACTGAAAAACAAATAGAAAACCTTAGCTTCTTAGGTGGCTGAGATCTAGGGTTTTGTTTTTGTTTTTGTCTGTCTTGGGGCTAGAATTCTGGGCATGGGCGCTTTCCCTGAGCTCTTCAGCTCAAGGCTGTCGCTCTATACTTGAGCACAGCACCACTTCCGGTTTTCTGCTGGTTAGCTGGAGATGAGAGTCTCTCAGACTTTTCTGCCTGGGCTAGCTTTGAACCACAATCTTCAGATTTCAGATCTCAGCCTCCTGAGTGGCTAGGATTACAGACGTGAGCCACTGGCACCCAGCTGAGAACTAGGGGCAGACAAATCCCAGAGACTCTTCAATTAAACAACAAAAAGATAGAATTGGAAATGTGGCTCAAGTGGTACACCAGCTATGAGTAAAAAAGCCAAGCAAGAGCTCTAGAAAGCTGAGCAAGAATGCAAGGTATGATGGGCTGAGAAGGTGGCTCAGTGGTAGAGAGCTTGCCTTGCATACATGAGGCCCTGGGTTTGATTCCTTAGCACCACATAAGCAGAAAAAGCCAGAAGTGGCACTGTGGCTTAAGTGGTAGAGTGCTAGCCTTGAGCTGAAGAGCTGAGGGACAGAGCCTAGGCCCAGAATTCAGGACCCATGAGTGGCAAAAAAAAAAAAAAAAGCAAGGTCTGAAAGATCCAGGACAGTGTGTCCAGGCCCAGAGTTCAAAACCCATGACCAATGGGCTCAGTGGCAGAGTGCTTGTCTAGCATTCATGAAGTACTGGGTTCCATTCCTCAGTACCACATACACAGAAAAAGCCAGACATGGCATTGTGACTCAAGTGGTAGAGTGCTAGACTTGAGCAAAAGAAACTCAGGGACAGTGCCCAGGCTCTAAGTTCAAGCCCTAGGACTGGTAAAAAACAAAAAAACCCATGAGCAACAACAGAAAAAAAGAATGTAATGTTTGGAGTTCAAGCCATAGTACACACACATACACACACATACACATGCACAATTAGCTTCATTACACTTAGCAATATAACTTAATGCTGTAATATATGCAACAAAGGAGCCACACCCCATTTCTTACTCCATCTAGTGTTGGAGATAATATGGGAGTCAGGGCTTGGATAGAGGAATGCTCTATTTAGCACAGGGTATTTTAGGACTTAGGGCAGGACTAGAGTCAGGATGAGGGTTCAGATAAGGATAGATGTAACGGTGAGGAGGGGGTAGGGGAGATGGGAAGGGATGGGAAGGGGGAAACAAAGGAGGCAACAATGCTTGATAAGAAATGTACTCATGGGCTGGGAAGGTGGCTCAGTGGTAGAGTGCTTGCCTTGCATGCATGAGGCCCTGGGTTCGATTCCTCAGCAC